AGGCCCTACAGGAAAATGACGCTATGGAGCTTGCACCCGGACGCCGGTTGACGAACCTCGACTATGCCGATGATATCGCTTTACTAGCTTCAAGCTTTGGTAATCTACAGTCTATGGTGTCACGGATGAACNNGGTCGCGAAATCAGTCGGTTTGTCGATAAACGCTGGGAAGACCAAAGTGTTTTCATGCTGCATCCCTGCCCAAAAGAAGGCACCTCTCGAAATTAGTGTCTGTCAACTTGGAGCGAGGTTGCCGCCATATGGAGAGAGTAAAGATGACATTGTCTCCAGAATTATACGGGGCAAAGGTTATCAAAACCAAGGGAGAATTAAAGCAACGTCATTTAGCGTATCCTGTGCGCAGACTGTCGTTATGTTTATATTGATCACACGGGTCGACGACTTGGGACTCGCATTAACGAACAGAAGCTGGCTAGCTGCCACCGGGACCCGTTATTTCTTGTGTTTGCGTACGCCTTCGATTGTGACCACCGTTTCAATGGGAATAGTACTGAAGCGGTCGCGATGGCTAACACTAAACAGGCACGTGAATTCCTAAAAGCCTGGCACTCCAATGCGGATAGAATAAACAGGCATGTTAACCTTGCCGTCCACTATAACACCATCTGCTCAAGATGGACCTACTGGCATCCACCTTAACAGTAACAGCTCCCAATGCATGCTTCGACATGCTGAATTTCCCGTTTACGCCATTTTCCCCACCATGACATACTGAGTCAGACTTGAGACTCCAAAAACCTAACCTCACCTCTGACAGTCACCAGAGCACGCTGCATACCTCCTCTCGCAAGATAGTCTGCCCATCTGTCTATCCGCGTGCTAAAACACCAGTGTGACAAACTCACTTCTTACTTTTCCTGTAGATGCGAGTTTTTCAGAATTGAGTCAACTAAAATTATTGAGATCTGCCAAACCCTTGATAAATATGGTTAACCTAGTAGTTCATCTGGTGGATCCTAGATGATTACCCAGGAAATCCTACCTGGTAGTCCGCTTACCGTATCCGTACTGGTGGATTCCATACGAGCAGTGGGTTGGGCAAGCCAATAGACCCAAGTGTGATTAAGTTCACGGCTCATGGTGAACTTCGTAGTTCAATAGTAGACCATTGGCCAAGCAAAGGTCTTCCCTGCTGCGTGGGTTCGACTCCCACCAAGGCCGCGAGTTTTCACAATGGGGTCAACTTAAATTATTAAAAACTGCTAGTCCTAATATTATACATAGTTTAAATTTGCGAAAATTCCCATTGAAAATTTCAGAAGATAAATTGGCGAAC